AGCATCTGGTTATATATTCTTTTTCTTTATCATTGAAATCATAGAATCAAATTTTTAGAATTGGAAAAACCTTAGTGCTTATCCACTTCTAATGTTTAAATTTTAGAATATAAAGTTGTTTCACATCTACAGGTCTTATCTCCTATGTCTTCTCACTCAACTCCAAACTGTACATTCATAAAGTCTATATTCTTTGCTTGTATTAAATTTCCCATGTTAGCAGAGTGTTCAGTAATAGTATTTAACAAATGCTTATTGACTTACATGTGAAACTGCCAAATAAGCCCTAAGCATACACACACACACACACACACACCTCAGAGGGCATGCAAGCTCTTCAGGAATGACCTGTAAATTTCATTAGCACAACTTCAAACAAAGCATTCACAGGGTTTCAAATCAGACTGCCAAATCCAGTAAGGCACAGGCAGCTGCCCTGGCCCATTCATTTTACGGTGCTGCTCTGCCCTGCTGTGGGAACACTGAGAAGTGCAAGAGAAGACAGTGTGCAGAACTCAGAACCAACTGCTACACATGGGTTTTCACAGAGAAACAGACAAAGCATCAATAAAAACATAGGCCTCCCTTTTAATAGGAAATCCACTTGAAATATTCATATTTTCTGGACATAGCGGTTACTGGATGCAAAAGGAGAAGTGATTTGCAAATCTCAGATCATTTTTAATTCATCCATTTGTAAAGTTGAATTTAATGTTCCTGAATATTTATCTTCTAATATTTCCAAAAATTGGTTGGTGTAGAAAACATGGTACAGGTTTAAATGGAAAAAGCAGGAGTAACAATAATAATTAACATTAATTGAACAATTACCAGATGTCAGGCACTAGGCAAATAAATATTAATTCATTTAATCTTCACAACAAAGCCATGAGATGAGTACTAGCTCTTTATGCTTTTCAAAGTGCTTTCACATAAGCGTTTTCTCCTCACCCAGTGCTCGGAGGCAGACGGGGAACTCATGGCACATAAGACACCTTGAAGACCCTGAAGTGAACAGGTGGGCCCCAGAGCACTGCTCAAGCAAGTCACAATCTGAGCCCAAGTCCCTAACTCCCCAGGCAGCCTTTCTTTTACTTACACACAGATGTCGGTTTACACACCTAAAGAAAAACCATTTACCAGACTGATGTTAGGAAATGCCTATCACAATGGAATAAACAAAAAGTATCATGACTACATCTGACAATTACATGTTTTTTCTCTATTTTTAACATTGGAAGAAAAATGATGCTGACTAAACTATAAAAACAATAAAGCATAATTATGTATCGTATTATATATTAATCAGACTTGGTTTAAGGTAAGTTATTAGCATTCAGTTCCATCTGAAAGCCCAAAATATACTTGAAGTTTCTCAAAGTTTTCTTCCCCCATTGATCTGAACTATTCTATTAAATCCTGTCCCTAAAACTTATACACCCATGAGACTTTCCAAAGGACTAATGTGGCTTGGTCTTGACAAGCTATCCATTTTCTGCCTGGTTTTTGTTTGGGTTTTGGCTTGGTTTTCTTTTTGGTTGCTTTGGGGCTAACAAATTTAGATTTGTAGCCTTCAATCCTGTGGTGAATTGTATTTGAAAGCTTCGGTCTAAATTTAGCTTGATTTTTCCAGCAAGCTCCTCCTGAGTAAATATTTTATACATTTTGTACTTTCAAAAATTAAATTCCCAACTTCAGACTGACTCTACTCAAATGACATAGTCATAACCAGGAATTACCAAATGCAAGGACTAAGTTTACCTGACCTAGACTTCACAGAACAGGGTTCCAAACTTATAAGTGGGTTACAAAAAGTTTATTTGCAAGTTAATTGTATAGAAATTTGGATGGGAGTTTTCCCATTTTAAAGTTACTACTTATAGCGTTTATTAGAGAATAGCAATTTTTGCAAGACGGGCCCCTATGCTGGCTCTGAACCTTCACTTGGCTCATTGCTCTGCATGGGGCTTGGAGCAAGGAGGCTGCAGGGCCACGGGGATACTCCCACCCTGAGTCTGCCCTCTTCCACTGGGACTTGGGTCACCAGCACTGGCGACAGTGGGGTCCTTTGTGGGGAGATGGAAGGAGTGCAGTCGTGAGAGCCAGGATATAGGCACAGAGTGCACTGCCTCAGTGAGAAAAAGGAAAGAACGTGGTGGCCAGTGGAGCTGGAGCTGGGTTAGGGGCCAGCCCTCCCTGGAGTGCTACATTCTAGGGAAGTCCCATTGGAGTCTGGAAATTTCAAACCTAGCCTTCCAGGTCTATACAAAGGTATATCAGCCAGAACAGAGTCCAGAACAGAATCTGTTATTCGAATGTTTGTTAGCTAGATTTTTTTTTTAAACAAATATACCTAACTAATATTCTAAAATGTAGGACTTCCGGCCTAGGAGCTGATCGATGCTTATTGAACAGGAAGCAATTTCTATTCCCTAAGGAGAAGTAACACATTGGAAGACTAAAGTGATAGGAATTTCAAGATAAATTTATTCATTAAATAAATGGTCAAATATCACTGGGAGGTAAGCTTTCCATCACCAGCAAGAGAAGCTCAGGAACACACACACTTACTAAAATGATTGGCAAATGTACCAACTCAGAAGCAAAACATAGCCCTGGCCAGTGTGTTCAGCGGTTAGAGCATCAGTCTGTGCATCAAAGGGTTGTGAGTTCGATTCCTAGTGCGGGGCACGTACCTCATTGCAGGTTCAATCCCTGGCCCTGGTTGGGGTGTGTTTGGGAGGCAATCAACTTATGTGTCTTTCTCACATTGATGTTTCTTTGTCTCTCTAGTAGAGTAAGGATTAAAAAACAAATCAAAAAAAGGAAACAGGGGAAGAGTGACGTTTTCTTGTCCCCAAAATACCTCATAGGCACTAAGAAAAGAAGGGAGAATGTGAACATGGCCAGCTGGCTGGTTTGTGGCCAGCAGTGACCCTTAGGGACTTGTCTCCCTGATGTTCTGAGTCCTACAGGTTGGCCATCTGGTCCTGCACTCCTGCCTTCTTGAGCTTTTCCTCTCTACCTAGTCTCTCACTTTATACCTCATAAGATGTTACATTTCTCAACTTCTTCCATGCATAAAAATAGAGGTTAATTAAAACTTCCTATCAAATCTATGAATTTTTAAATGCATTGCCTAAATGAAATTTAGTGAGTCCCCAAAGTGCATGACTATCGTTTCAAAATAGCACTCACCAAAAGTATAATTGTATTATTGTACTATCCAAGTTGCTGACTAGATCTTCTCATTGTTTCCTGCACTTGAAAAAAACATACACTTCTGGAAAATTAACACTCCACTACCAACCATGAATGAAATAAGGCCTTCTTTGCTGTGTTTGAATACTATCATTAGTTCCTAAGGGAGGGCTGTGTTCCCACTGGAATCAGAAATCCTCTAACCTGTGTAGAATTCAAGGGAACTAAAACAGTCCGCAAAGCCTCCCGAGATGATTCCCTCCCTGCAGAGGTGTTGGCAATAGCCTAGAAGGGGAATCACATTGGAAAGAAGGCAGCCTACGCCCAAGGCACAGACACTCCCCCTCCTGAAACCAATCTCCAGGAAAGGGCTGGAGAAAGCATGGAACACACCAAGCATTAGCAAGCCACACTCCTATAAAAGTAGTGGTGTTGTGCACTTCACTATGGAAAACATCATGGCGAAAAGTAGAGAGAGCATAGCAGGAGGAGATGCTGATGCTGACTGTCAGGAATACTGACTCCTTCTCCCTAAAACCCACCCCAAGTAGTTAGAAAAGGGAAGCTGAGAAATCCTTGATGGGGAAGTGTTTGAATGGGTATGTGTAGGGTATGTTTGCATTAGCCTGGAACAGAAGGCAGTCCAGTTAAGAAAGGATCAAGCAGAGGGAGAACACTGGAGTTCTGGTTTTGCTTCTCCTCTTCCTCTATCTTGGAGCAAATGGTGCCCATTGCCATCTGGAGTGGCTCAGGCCCACTGGGGTGCTGGGGCTGGTATAGTAGCTAATTGTTAAATTTTCAGGAATTTTGTCAGCCAATTTTTAAATATAGCTATGATTGAAAATTAAATTATACAAACTTAACAATAAGTCCACACTCACATTTATAGAAGCATTGTTCACAACAGCCAAAATGTGGAAGCAACCTAAATGTCCATCAACAAGTGAATGGATAAACAAAATGTGACCATCTGACCATTCAACCATCCAGTCAGTAGCTATGACACACAATGACTACCAGGGGGCAGATGCAGAGCTGTGGTGACTTGGCAGCTGCAGTTCTTGGGTGATGCACCTGGAACCAGAGAAGAGGAAACCTGATTCCAGAGGGTGTCGCCCAAGAACCATCCTCTTGCATTCCTGGACCTCTCAGGGTATGTTAGGAGCCAGTTTCAGCCCGATCCTCGATCCTCGCAGGCCATGCCAAGAGGCCTCGCCAGTGCAAGAATCCATGCACCAGGCCTCTCGTATACACATAATGGAATATTATTCAGCTTAAAAAAGAAGAAAATTCTTATACCTGCTACAATACAAATAAACTTTGAGAAAATTTTCTAAGTGAAATATGTCAGACACAAAAACACAAATATTGTATGATTCCACTTACTTGAGGTGCCTAGTCAAATTCAGAAAATAGAATGGTGGTTGCCATGGGTTGGTGATAGGAGGAATGGGCAGTTCAAGGTACAGTTTCAGTTTTGCAAGGAAAATATTCTGGGGGTTTGTTACACAAAAGTGTTAATATAGTTAATAATTCTGAACTCCAACCATTTAAAAACAGTTAAGGTAATAAATTGTATGTCATGTGTACTTGACCACAATTAAAAGTTTTTAAAAATGTTTTTAGAAACAGAAGCAATAGAATCTTAATTTCCTGCTTTGTCCATATGTGATAAATAGGTAGGGTATTACCATTAGGGTCACTGGGTGATGGGTACAGGAACTTCCTGTGCTATTTTGCAATTTCTTGTGAGTTTATATATATTTCTAAATAAAAATGTTTTTTAAACAATACTCAAAAGTCACCATTTCCTAATTATTTTACTACGATTTGCAATAACTATATTCTTGAGATTTTTTTAAGTCTATTGTACTTCTCTAGTGTTGCACATCACCTCTCAAAAATCTACATTCAGTTGGAAGCTGAAAATCAGTGGGAGTATTTATACCATGAAAATCAGCAGATGCTACAAGCAAGGGCTCCACACTGACAACTCCCAGCCGGTTGTAAAGCTTTTGCCAGCAACCTGTGGGCCAGGTGTCCTCAGGATGAAAATTAGATTAGCTCTGAATCCTATGCTTGTGAGGGGATGAGACAAATGAGTGGAGACTAGCTGACCACAAGCAGTAACTTAGAAACTTCAAAGCCGGGGAATTGCACCCTTAGGGGTGTTTCTCCCCCAGGGAGCTGTGATAATGTTTTTGTTGACTTGGCTGAGCTAAGGGAGGCCCAGAGAGCTGTTAAAACTTTATTTCTGGGTGCGTACAGGAAGTTGTTGCCAGGAGAGATTAGCATTAAATTACGTAGTAGACTGAGTAAAGAGTATCTTCCCCCAATGTGCACAGGTGTCACCCAGTGCATTTTGAGGGCCCAAATAGCACAAAAAGGTGGAGGGGGAAATTCTGTTTCTCTTCCGGAGCTGGGATGTCCACTTTCTCTTGTCTTGCTCTGAATATCAGACATCGGAGCTCCTGGTTCTCCAGGAGGCCTTCAGACTCTGGAGAGGCCCTGATTCTCTTGCCTTCACATTGGACTGAATTATACAACCACTTTCCTGGTTCTCCAGTTTGCAGATGGCAGACCATGGGACTTCTCAGCCTCCATACCTCGGTGAGTCAATTCCTAAAATAAATCTCCTCTTACATATGTTTATCTAGTAATCGATATTTTCTCAATGGCTCTGTTCCCCTGGAGAACTCTTACTAATACAGAGGTGTAACGGGGAAAGACCTGACCTGCACGTTTGTTTTGAGAGGTGGAAGTCCTCTAAGTGTGCACTTTCTTGACAGCAAGTTTTCTCCCCCAGGGCTCACGTACTCTCCATCTCCTGAGTTCATTGGAAGTGAAGCAGAGTTGGGGGCAAGAGAGGGAGTCTGGCTTTCCTCCACTTCCTGCTCTTGAGGTGGAGACATCTCTTTTCTTTTGATTCCCATTGAAGACGTTATTACACCTGTGAAGTTCTTGGATAAAGTGAGGATTGAGGATCTCAGGGCGAGGCGTTGCACTATCTAAAGGCAGTTCTCCCTGCAGTTCACTCCAGTGATGGGAAGGAGTCAGTTGCCTTGGGCGGACTTGGCCCTGCGCTGAGTCCTTTTCTCCTTGATTGTGTCTCATGGAAGTCAGAAAACATTCCTTCCTGGGCAGTGCCTGTAGATGGCTGAATGTGGAAATAACTGTTTGATAAGCCAGGAGGTCAGATGCTTTAGTGAGTTTGTATCAGCATTGCTCAAAAGTTCATATCATTGCCGAAACCAGTTTGGCTCAGTGGATAGTGTCGGTCTGCAGACTGAAAGGTCCCAGGTTCGATTCCGGTCAAGGGCATGTACCTTGGTTACAGGCACATCCCCAGTGGGGGGTGTGCAGGAGGCAGCTGATCGATGATTCTCTCTCATCGATGTTTCTATCCCTCTCCCTTCCTCTCTGTGAAAAATCAATAAAATATATATTTTTTTAAAAAAAGTTCAAATCGTTGCTCTTTGGAAGTTGTAGTTTTGACTGACAACTTGGGCCTTGGGTCTGCAGGTCTTGACCATCCTGCTGGTAGAAATCCCTTGTCCTCTGCTTTGTGATGTGAATGCGCATAGTTGGGATGAGTGTGCAGAGTTGGCAGGGTTGCTGTCTTTTAAAAGTGTATACTATCACAGGGCATGTATGACTCAGCGGTTGAGTGTGGACCTATGAACCAGGAGGTCACGGTTCAATTCCTGGTCAGGGCAGATAACCAGGTTGCAAGCTCGAACCTCAGTGTATGGTGTGCAGGAGGCAGCGATCAATGGTTCTCTCTCATCATTGATGTTTCTATCTTTCTCTCCCTTCTGAAATCAATAAAAATGTATTTTTTTAAAGTGCGTACTATATAAAGTAGCACCTTGCCATACCAGTCGACATGTCAGATGTCATTTGGTACCCCAGGGCTGATATAGGCTCTTGGGCCTCACCCATTTCCTAGCCTTCTAGAGCCAAAATCTAAAACTTATGGCCAAAGCTATGGAGTTTTTTAATCATCTGTGTATATTGATAACTCTCAACTTCATGGTTTTCTTGTTCATCTTTCCCTGTTCCATGACTTTACTTCCTTTTCCACCACAGTGAAAATTTAAGTTACATCCACACCAATTTCATTATTCATTTGTTCTATCCTACGATCACACACAAAAACAGTTATGGGGGATTCATGGAGGGGAGGGCAAAAGGGAGAATGGAGGACATTTGTAATACTGTCAACAATAAAAATTAAAATAAAATAAAAAACAGTGGTAACACCAACAAGCCCATAAAATAATGTTCAGGATTTCTTTTTCGGTTGTCCTTGTGCTTAGAATTTATTCTGTTAAGGCTATGGAATCCATGTGCTGTGTTCAAAAGTAACTTTATATTTTCTTTGTGTTTGTTTTTGCGCATTTCCCCCCAGCTCTTCCTTCTCTCTCTCCCCCCGCCCGTCCCCTTCACCACACAACTGTATGTATCCCTGGGCTATACGTATATGTATTTATGATCTTGGGCTAATCTCTTCACCTTCTATTTACTTCCCCTCACCTCAACAAACCTCCCCTTTAGATCTGCCAATCTGTTCCATCTGTCTATGCTTCTGTGTTTAATATTTATACATAATTGTTTTCATTTGGCTCTCTTTGCATTTAATTTTAACCTCTACTTTTTAATCTTTTTAAATTTACTTTAGCTCCTTAACTCTTGAATATTTCCAGCCTTTCTCTATTCTGTCAATAGAGAATAGTGCTAGCTAGTTGAAAGTGCTAGCTTTGCCTGGCATCTTATCTTTTTACGTTTCTGAGGATGGTCCCAATATACTATTTGGGATCTCTTGGCAAGTCTGATATGTTAGTGCAGAGAAAGAAATGCAAGAGGTGCAAGAGAGAGGATTGGGCTTGAGAGAATTCCCTTCTGAAAGACAGAGGCACAAAAATAACTGCAGTATATGAAGAGTAATTGAGAAAGGATCTTCAAGCAATCAAGAATCCAAAGAAGCTGCCTCAGCTGACAAGGGAGGCCCAGTAGGTTGGGAATTCGGGATGGTCTGAGTCAGCCAAATTCCTCAATATAGCTCAATCCAAATATTCAGATACCCCTCTTTCCTGATCAATAACCTCACTTCCTCATAAGAGACCAGGCAGTCCATGAATTAAAAGTTGGCAACATTGAGGATCAAAAGTAGTGTTAGGCTTACAACTATTTGAAATTTTCAGCTGCAAGAGCTTATATCTTTTTTTAAAAAATCTCATTAATGTCTACAGCAGTCATAGAGATCCCTTAGGTTTTGATTGATAAACTAATAATTTAGAAATCTTAGCTTGCTATTTTTTCTTTAGGATGTTCTGCAATATTAGAAGCAATGACACCTCCATAATCCTTGAGTCCCACCTACTCTTCATACCACCTATGGCAGTAGCATTGGGAAGCCCAGAGGCTTGACTTCAGTTGGCATATCAGTACTTGTGATCCATGGAATAATTTAATTAACCATTTCGCTACTATTGACCATGGGCTGTGAAAATTCAGTTCCTCAATGTTAGCTGGGTTCTCTTTGCCTTTATCTCAAACCAGGTAGTAACGAATCTCAGCTTTCCAGCCACCTTCAGACCTGCACCAGCACCTTTCCCTGAGGATCTACTGCCTACAACTAACCATTCCTGGTAAAAATGTATCCAGCAGCGGATCTTCTTGGAACAATATTTAATGGGTAGCTCCAGATTTACTGAGAAAATAGGCAAGAATAAAGAGAAGCTATGCAAATAATACCCAGTCAAAAATAGGACCAGAAAGCTGGCTGTTGGTACACTGCTACTGCGGCCACTGAGCACAGAGACTGCTGTTTGCTCTGTTGTCACCCCTGGTATTCAATACCAGATCCAAAGGTTGGCAACACAGACACTGTTGTGCCTGCCAACTGGCTGCCGCTGCCACTGACACCAGAAAGAAATCTCCACTGTCCTTGTTTCTTTGTGTCATTAGTTTCAAATTCAAAATCCCAGATGAGTGCATCTGATTGGCAGAGTCTAAGACAAGTGCCTACATCCCAGCTGGCAGAGGAGCTAGAATATTAGGTGTCTGTTCATTGCAGCTTCTCTTGGGAGAAGCAAGGCATCCCTCAAATACCAACTGGGTTCAAATGCTGAACACCAATAATTACAAGTGGCCATTACACATATAATGCTCTGGCAAGTGCCACAGGTTGTAATAGGTGCACACGGCGCTGTTTTGGTTTTCAGCACAGTGCCTATCTCACAGCAGGCACTAAATACATAGCAATTGCTATTCATACTGTTAAAAGCTATCATAATTACTATCGTAATCATGGTCATTATCACTAGAAAAAATCAACCTATAGGGATCAATGGATAAGGAATGAGATAACAAAAGCCCCAGGCAGACTGTACAGACCAAAGACGAAGAGGCCTCGATGGCCCCTCCTGATGCCATGGTACTATATAAGACTTGCCAGAAATTAGGTACAACCCCAGGGATAGGGGGAAATTCTAAATTGACTAAAATGGATGGATCAGAGACTCAAAACAGAAAATACGTTGTTATAGAAAATCCATCAGAGGTATATTTCTTGCATACTTAATTATAGGCTGATCTTTATACACACTACATTTTCAGGTGCATTATGCCAGGTAAGCAAGGTGCCTGTGTAACACTTCAGAGAACCTGCCACAGCCATTGTCCTTTGTATAATGGTCTGTGAGTTCTTTACACATTGGCTACCAGGGATACCAGATTGCCTCACCCCAATGTGGCTTTCCAGCTTCTCCCATGCATGTTATACCTACGTCTCCAAATCCTGGAATCTAAACTAGTCTTTTAACTTGCTTTGTGGTGGAAGTGATGTTATTTGAGTTCTGAAGCCTAAGCCTACGGGGCCTTGCAATATCTGCTTTACCCTCTTGAAATGTTGCCCGAAGAACATTAAATTATGAAGAAGTTTGGGGTTAAAGACAACAGGGAAAGAGGTTAAGCCATTCCATTAGTCCTAGCTGAATCCATTTCATCCAACTAAATGAGTGAATCCAGGCGAGATAAGCAGAACTGCCCAACCAACACATAAAATCGAAATAACACATTGTAACTGTTTAAAACTAAATTTGGGATTGTTTATTACTGTCTGGCCACCATGTAAACTGGCCTAGCCTAAAGGTAAATAAGGGGCCATTCCAGAGGAGAGTCAAAGGACCCCAGATGACTGCCAGTACCAACTGAGAGACATCTGAGTGGGCTCCGTTTGAACCCTCCAACCTTCCACAGAACACAGCAACATGACTAAGCTCATGTAAAAGCAGCAGAGAAAGCCGTCTACAGAAACTTGAAAAGTAATAAATCCTTGACTTCTCTCTTTCTCTTACTCCCCTTTTTTACCCATTGGCAAATCCTGCCAACTTTACCTTCCGATACATACTGAATCTGATCACTTCTCCTCAGCTCTGTCACTCATACAGGTCCAAGTTATCATCATCTCTTGCATGGATTATAAAATGGCCTCCTAACAAGTCTTTTTGGAATAACTAAAATATTGCACAACTTGATTGTTGTGTTGGATACATGACTATGTATATTTGCCAAAACTTATTGAGCTGTACAATTTTAAAAGGTGG